CCGGGAAAAGCCTGTCAGTTAAAAAGTTTTAACCCTTTGACTGTTTTCCCAGTTAAATAGTCTTACGAGCCAATTTTTGACGTATTTTTCGCACAAATTCTAGCGGCTTCAAATCGAGCGCCAAAGCCTGATAGGCCTACCGGGGAAAAAGAAGGGTCTCAGTGGTCGGTGTGACCCTGTCAAAAAAATCTGGGACCCAGCGGTGCTTGTGGGAACGCCCTGTTGTCAGTCCTTTTCACCCGCCTTCGGTAAGAAGTTCCTCATCCTCGGCGGAATTTGGGGGTCTTTTGTTCCCAAATGTTCTAAAAGCGATGAAAATGTCAGTGACGTGAATTCGGGTTTTAAGTGGTGTTTCCGAAAAAAATGCCCGGATAACGTAAATAGTGACGAAAACCCCGTGACCCCCCCCAAACCCTTGACCTTGGTGTGTGCCGGGTTGTTTCCCTTCAGTTGCCGTCCAGGACAAAAGAGGAAACTATTTGGTCGTGTACAAACCCTGATGATAGCATGATATGATTTGATAATGAAGTGATTTAAAGGTCTTGAAAGCATTCTAGTGACATGAGAGTGAATTTTCCCCATGAAGCGCCAGTATGTTGACGTAGCATGGGTTGGTATGTTTCATTGTTGTTCCAAAGGGGAAGGAAAACTTGGGAGCACACCCCGTGGCCCAACACCACGACCTATAGTGAAGATGACGATATTGTAACGAGGGGTATAAAGGTGACAGTGAGGGAGGAGGCAGTGGTGGTGTGTGAGGGTGGCAGGGCCCTGTGGCACCATCCCGGGCCCGCTACTAGCCCGGGCTGATCGCAAAACAACCAGCCTCCCCCTACCCACACTGCCACAACCTGCACCCCCACAACCTGCCCCCACAACCGCACGCCAAAACCCCAGGGTACAAATCCGCCCCCACCAGCAGACCCATTGGGATTGCAGGACGGTGACGAGTTTGTTCCCGCCCCCCATGTTTTGATAACACAAGTGGAAATAAAGCCATCTTGTCCATTTGGGGAACAAGCAGTGAACTGGACGCTTTGGTTATTTTTCGATGAACCCCGATGGACATCATTGTCGGGGAAAAACCAACAATACTGTAAATTACACCATGGCAAATACAATTCTTCACCAAAACCCGGGCCCTACACAAGGGGGGAAGGAGACAACTGTGGCAGAGTGTCCCGTTTTTTCCCACAAAAATGCTTATGCCACATGTGTATAAGCACATGCACCACTACGGGACAACAGATCGCGATTTCAACCCCAGGTTTTAGTGACATTATGGGTTCAATCGTTTCTGATATGTTCTTTTTTCCCTTTTTCAGAAAAAACCAGGCCTGACGAAGCGACAGGTTAAATAAATAAGAAATGTGTTTTTGTACCTGAAACAAAAGTGCTGCATGTTTTTTATCCTTCAAAGCTTGTTTTTTGATGAGTCCTTTAAATTTTATTAAAAGGAAAGATTTCCATTCGCAAATATACCAAGCAAGAGGAACGCTTTGTATAAAGCTTTTTGTACTGTGTGATTGCAAAAGGTTTGGTTTTGATATTATTGTGTACACTGGCAGAATATTTTGGAGATCCCAGAAGTTTTTGGGGTATCTCTGGTGATTGGTTGAAAAATGATGGAACCATATCTTGGAAAGGGGCATTTGTTATTTATGATAACTGGTACAAAACCCCCCTTACTCAGTGATTTTTTGGAGTGAACTTGCAGCGTGTTTTTGACCAGTGCGTGGTAATCGCAAAATTGAAGGTTCGACGCTGGCACTCGCAGGGGGTGAGGTGCCTTTTTCTGCCAATGACATCTGGCATTTCGGTGGATGACAAACGTGATGTCCATGTTGACATCATTTACACAAACGAAATGGTACCCCGTGGCGGGACAACAAAAGACCAAGAACCCTTTTTAAAGCCTCGCTGTCATGGGGCTACAACCTCAATTCCTTGTGGCAAATGTACTGAGATTGGGGTTTTCAGACTGTGTACCAAAAGGTTATAAGTGTTATCAAAATTTTTTTCCTTTTTGTTGATATCTCTATGCTAAATGTTATAACAATCAAGTTGAAGACCAACAAAACACCCAAAAATGGGGAATTTTGCCTTTTGTAATAAGACAAATTTGCAAAATACAAAGGGCAATCCTGCAATAGACCAGCGCCCCCGGAGTCATCTGTTTTTAGGCCTGGTGATCACTACCCCTAAATGCTCCTATACGCCAAAAAAATGCTCAGAAGAGGTGTTATGTATGTATGCTACCACAAAACCCACAAACCAAGACACCGTTTTTTTGGAGGAAAATGTGAAATGCCTCTGCAATACCCCCGTTTCAAAAAGTTCCAAAAGCGCAGCAGTTCTGGAACTGGTTAGTGACTGTACAAGTAAATATTATGGAACAATAGTAATAAACATTGTTTTGTATTGTTTTTTTGTGTAAACAAAGTGTATCCAAAATAAAAGTGATAAGTTTGTTCTGTTTTGTGGTAAATAATGAGGTAATTTGAAAAATGCACCTTACATTTTTTCCCAGGGCCCTAAGTTACTGGAAAAGAAAAATATTGAAAAATCAAGAAACCTTTGAAATTGAGTAAATAAAAAAATACCGGTGGGCGGCAGCGCCCCTTTTCGTACGCCGCAATTTCTCAAAATTTGCGGCTCTATATTCGGTAAGTATGATGGCAAAAATTTTTTTTTAGGTTAAAAAAATAGTAAAAATTTTCTAACTTTTTATAAGAAAAAAAATTTTTTTTTTTCGAATATTTGGAAATGAATGGGCAGTTTCAGAGAGGGCCTGAAACGTCAAAAGGGGTTTAAAGGGGGATGGTTTGATTGCCCGAAGGCCCAAGGATGGGGGTTGAGCTAAAATATTATACCTCCCAATTTTTGTCCATGCTTCTCAAGGGCAAAAAAAAAAAAGGTAATAACCGAGTGGGTTTTTCGAAAAAGGGATTACGAACTAGTACCCAAGCGTAGTAAGGGGTCTATGGGAATGTCCCTTTCAAAACCAAATTTACGAGTGGAGGATGTTGTGTCTTCTAAATCCCCCCATAAAGTCTATTTTTCCCGGGTTTCCATCACTTTTCAAACTGCCTGGGAAAGCAATGGGACGATAGTGGGAGGGTCATGTCCCGTAGTGCCGGGTTTTCGGAAAGGGAGAACAATGGGGGATTTCCACGCTGTGGGGGAAAAACTCTTGTGCCAAATAAAATTGTAAAGGTAAAAGGACTGCAAAAGGGGTGCTGATGAAATGTTGTAGCATACAATATGAAGTGCGGGCCAGCTGCCCATGATCGGCAAGTGAGATGTTCCTCCATTCTTTAAGGGAAAGGCACATTTTATGTTTTTTTAGAGAAAAAAAAAGGGTGTAACTTCTGGCGACTTTTAGGAAGAAATAGGGGCATACTGAACCCTGAGAAATTGGACCCGATGATTGCCAATTTCATTGGCAAATTTGGGGTTTTCTATATCAACACTGGCAACCCCAGAACCCGGAGCCGGGGCAGGAGAATATTTCCACTCGGTTTTGTACTTTTTCCCGACTGCACTCCAAGAGGAAGCAGAGGTGATGGTGGAGACATAATCTCGCCAGCAAGTGCGTTTAGCGTCAGGGATGACACAGCGAGCGATTGCACGCTTCTGCTTAAAATCAAGAAGTCTCTCTGTGGTTCTATTGTACTGGTACCTGCCCCATGCAGCGTGTTTCAAACGTACTGCACGAGCACAAGCATGAGACCACCAAGGCACGCATTTCTGAGAATGCCTGCCCGAAGTTTGGGGTATACAATTAGAAGCTGCGGTTAAAACAGAGGATGAGAAGAGGTGTAAAAGCTCATCGACGGAGGACAAAGAAGGAACCTCTCTAAAAACAGTTAGGTGTGAGTAAAGGTTCCAATTTGCCTGATCAAATTGCCAGCGTGGGATGCGAAGAGGTGGTGAATATGAAGGGGAAGAAAGAATGATTGGGAAATGATCACTGTCATGTAAATCCGGGAGAACAGACCAGGTGAAGTCTAATGCGGCGGAGGAAGAGCAGACTGAGAGATCGATGCAAGAGAGAGTGTGAGTCCGAGGATCAAAATGGGTGCGAGTACCTGTATTTAAAGCATGGAGGGGGTGGGTAGCAAGAAAAGCCTCTAGCTGAATCCCACGGGAATCACAGTGAGACACCCCCAGAGGAAATGATGGGCATTAAAATCGCGGTGGCGGTAATGCCGAAACAAGAAAGGCAATATCCGGAATAGATAATGCCCGAGAAGGAGAGAGATATAAAGAACAGAGTGTATACCACCTATGCAAGTGGATACGGGCTGCTGTGTAATGCAGCAAAGTATGAACAAATAGCTGATGGTACAGAATATCAGTGCGTAGAAGAAGGGCACTTTCATTAAAGGTCCCATCAGGAAAAGGATCTGAAGAATACAATAAATTATAGCCTGAGATGGGAGAGATAACAGCAGAGTGTAATTTTGATTCCTGTAAGCAAACACCAACAGGGGAAAACTGGGAGAGTAACATCTGAAGCTCACCCCGATTACCCCTGAGGCCGCGTATATTCCACTGTAAATAGGCCATGATTGGCAATGATAAAGATACCTGAAATCCGCAGGTAAGTGTTCCTACGGACTAGAGGGGTTAGAAAAGTCCACATGCGGATGCAGCGGAAAACGTTCAAGCAGCGAAGGAACGGTGCGCTGTGAAGAAAGGGGTTGCGCAGATGGAGGAGAGGAGAGAGAAGGAACAGAGGGTGGATCAGTGTCCATTGATGGTTTGGTCTCTGCAATATATTCAGAGATTGCTTCAAGTGTTTCAGAATTCAGAGACGTCGTATGGGAGACAATATTGGAGATGGTAGGGGGAGGATGAGTAAAGATTGGAACTGTAATGGACTGTACCAAGGTAGGGGGGGGGCGAAAGGGTGGAGGGAACTGAGAAGAATCATGGAAGGGGACAGAAGAGGCAGAAACCTGGGAGGTGCTTCTGCAAAGACTGATTATGTGTGAATGATGGTGAAAGTATTGAATGATGGCATAAGTGTTTCTTTTTTTTGGGTTACCTTGCCTTGGTGGGAGACAGCTGACATGTTGAAATTTTTTTTTTTTAAAGCAGACATTATGGGAATTACTAACTGGCAGTACACTATTAACCCTTAAACTGTCCAAACGTAGATCTACGTTTTTTTTTTGTTATATTTGAAAATATGTATAAAAACGTAGATCTACTTTTGGAGCACTACGCATGTAAACATACATTTGTTTGGACAGTTTAAGGATTAAGAGTCACTAACAGGAAGTACACTGCCAGGAGTCACTAATAAGCAGTACGCTGCCAGAAGTCACTACTGAGCAGTACACTGCCAGAAGTCACTAATGGGAAGTACATTGCCAGGAGTCACTAATGGGAAGTACATTGCCAGGAGTCACTAACAGGCAGTACATTGCCAGGAGTAATTAACAGGCAGTACACTAGCAAGAGTCACTAGCTGGAAGTACACTGCCAGGAGTGACTAACTGGTAATACACTGCCAGGAGCTACTAACTGGCAATACATTGCCAAGAGTCACCAATGGGCAGTACACTGCTAGGAGTGACTAAACGGCAGTACACTGCCAGGAGTTACTAAATGGCAGTACACTGCCAGGAGTCACTAAATGGCAGTACACTGCCAGGAGTCGCTAAAGGGCAGTACACTGGCAGGAGTCACTAAAAAGCAGTACACTGGCAGGAGTCACTAATGAGCAGTACACTGCCAGGAGTCACTATTGAGCAGTACACTGCCAGGAGTCACTAATGAGCAGTACACTGCCAGTAGTCACTAACGAGCAGTACACTGCCAGTAGTCACTAACGAGCAGTACACTGCCAGTAGTCACTAATGAACAGTGCACTGCCAGGTGCCACTAACAATCACCAAATTACAGTGACATAAATCATGGAGAGTGATTTTCAAAGAATCATGATGACATCGACATTATATAGTCAACTATGAAGGCAGCACAATGCCACAGTTTATTATAGTCACTTTACTGACATTCTTGAGTTTGGCTATCGCCTTCACCACATCTAGGCCACGTTCCACCTCACCAAAAACATTTTTATGCACATCACCCTCACAGTCCCTGGTGGTGATGTGGAACAGGGTACTACTGAAAGGGACATGCCACACAGCTCCTGCACTGATTGACTCCCAGGCATTACCATCAAAGTCCATTGATGGTCCTGCATCTGTTATAGGGTCATCCCATTCATTGTAGTCTCCACCTACCACATACTCCCCTGGCTCACCCTTCCCAACCACAGATGTAAGTTTAGTGTTGTAGAAGGTGTAACCTCGATGACCTGTACACATATTCCTAAACATTCTGCTCATACTAGACTTGGATCTTAGCCGAATGTACACTCGTGCTCTTTCAATGTTTTCATATTTCAGGTCAAGAAATGCCACAAGGGAGGACGGGTCCAGCATATTCATCACGTCTCTGTGCTGTATAAAATCAAATAAATTATGTTTATAAAAAGATAGCAAAAGGAGATTTCTTTTATTACAATATTTTGCATACATGAGGCTTGATCATTTATATGTTGGCCACACCACAATCCAACCAAAATAAACCACTGTGCAAATTGCATTTGCATTCATAAAATAGTTCATAATTTCAGTAAGACTGGCAAGTTTAATAGTCACCAGGATTGTGTGAGCATTGATGGGCAGTGGCTGCTTCTTGAGTGTGTCCAAGCACAGGTTTCCCCATTCTAACTGTATACGGGCATAGTAATTCGTGGTCTTGGTTTGGTGAACAGCAAACACCCGGGAATAGGTCATTAGATTCTTGAAAGGTTCACTCAATATGCGTAGATGCTCAGCCTGTGGACAGTGTCAGCATTATTACCATCTGTGAACAGTGTAAGCATTATTATCACCTGCAGACAGTGTTGATTTCATTATCACTAGTGTCAGCCCCATTATCACCTGTAATGTCATTTGTGGACAGTGTCAGCTCCATTAGCACCTGTTGAAATGGTCAGTCTTGCTATCACTTCTGGACAGTATCCATACCATTATTACCTGTATTGTCAGCCCCATTATTACCTAGTGTAACTTACCCATTATTACCTGCAGTCTCAACCCATTATTACCTGCAGTATGAACCCATTATTACCTGTAGTATCAACCCATTATTACCTAGTGTATCTTACCCATTATTACCTAGTGTATCTTACCCATTTTTACAGTGGTACCTCAAGTTTCATACTTAATCCATTCCAGGAGCTAGTACTATAGTCAAAATGTACTAAAGTCGAAGCAATATTTCCCATAGAAATAATGTAAATAAAATTAATCCGTTCCAGATACCCAAAAATATTAACAAAAAATACATTTTTTAGATTAATTATAGTTTTACATACACACAACAAACATAAATAGTACTTAAATTAGTAATAGAAAAATAAACATTTAAAATAACATTTTTACTTATCTTTATTGAAGACTGTTGATGGCATCTGGAAGATAGGGAGGAGTGAGGGAGGGCTTAGTGTTTGGAAGGGGAATCCCCCTCCATAAGGGCTTCAGGTATCAAAGCCCTCTCTGGGGTTACTTCCCTTCTTTGTCTTTTAATGCTACTAGGACCAGCATGCGAATCTCTGGACCCGTCTCACAAAATAGCTGTCTACAGTCTTCTGGCTACGAATCCTCTTGTTTTCCTCAGTCAATCGCCGTATCTCCATCTTCGCCACCCTTAATTCTTCCTTAAGCTCTTGGTAAAGTTGCTCGATGGAGGGCATCTTGGTTCAGTCTGCAGAGAGCACACTCGACACATCCTCACTGAGCTAAGTACAGGTCACCACTCAAGCTAAGTACAGGTCACCAATGAGCTAAGTACCTCCCCAACCAGCAAACCAGATGCTAAGGATCAGACGATCAGGGTCCCAATGTCAGATCAGTATCTAGGTTCAGCCAATGAGGTGGACCTGGCAATTGTGGATGTGACATGGTTACCACTCACATTTCCACCCTTGTCATTTCCATTCTAGAGCTGGTTGAAGCACGGTCTGCTCTCTAGTAGCATTATTTCTGCTTGATTACCGTGGCGTGCACTAATACCTATGGCTGTACATAGTGTATATAGTGTACATAATTCTGCTTATACTTGGTGAAGGATAATATAAGTCAAAGTTTTCTGCTGTGTTCATTTTGCTCCCTTTACACCCAGGATAACAGGCCTTTGAGTTCTTGGGTTGTAATACAAGCTTACTCTCAATACTGACAAAAGCTATTTCATTCAGTTTGGAAAAAGTGCTACAAATGTTCCACTTTTATTTATTTATTAATTTGAACATGATACAGAGAAGTACAAAAGAATACAGTTAACCCTTTGAGGGTCGACAGGCCCTCTCCGAAACTCGTTCTCAGGGTCGGCCAAATTTAAAAAAAAAAATTATTTTTTCTTATGAAAAGATAGAGAATCTTTTCCCGATCATAAAGACACCAAAAGTTTGAAATTTGATAGAAAACTTACGGAATTATGCTCTCGCAAAGTTAGCGGTCTCGGCGATGTTTACGCATCGGCGATTTTGCCCACTTTGAGCCCCATTTTCGGCCAATTTCACTGTACTAGTCGACAAAAAACATGAATATTTCGCTAGAACTCCATTTTTTCTATCGAATGGGTGCAAGAAACCACTCATTTATGAAATTCAACTATCCAGTACAGTGGTCAGAATTTAGCAATTTTGCCAATTTCACACAAATTTCAAAAGATGCCAATTTCGGAATAGGGTCCAGAATAAACAAGAAAGACATTCCTGGCACTAAAATGACATTTCCTCTAGTCATTATTCACGTCTCAAGGCCCCTCTTATATTCTTTTGCTTTCCACTTTGAATTTTTATTTTCACAAAAAATATAAGATTTACTGTTATGCAGACTACTGCATTAGTGTAAAAAATGGTATAAATATTATTGGTGCACTTGTGAAAGAATATTAGACTCACTAGTTGACGTGTATTGCACGCTTGGCACGATTTGTTTACTTTTGAAGTTTGGTAAAAATCGAACATTTCTGCTACTTTGAGCTCAATTTCAAGGCACCTTTCTTTGTAAAACCAGTCAAAATCATCTCTATTTCTGTAATATGTCTTCCATTCTATAAAATGAGACCAAGAAAACTAGAATACAACAATAAATACCATACGAAAATACACTGCAAAGTCGCTGATTTATTCAAAAAAATGGTCAAAGTTTTTTTTTTCTCATTATGCACTGTGTGCTGCAGGATTTTTTTTAGACTGTGCACACTGACCACATAGACCCATTCTTTCATATGAAGGCCTACCAGCTTTCTCCCACTAGATTTGAGGCCGCTAGAATTTATGAGTACTAGTACGTCAAAAACCCCTACGCGTAAGACGTACTAGTACGACGAAAACCCTCAAAGGGTTAAATGCAGCATACCAAAGCCACTTGAATGCATAGCATTACGGGCAGGCTTAAAATTAACTTAAGATTAACTAAGCAATGAAGTATTCAGTGGTAAAACATTATTGTAAACAGATAACAATTAAGCACAAATGAGTATTACAAAAACAGGTCGTATGGTTGCTTGCATTGCTGTACAATCAGTATTTATTTATTTATGGGTAGGCTTAAAATTAACTTAAGATTAACTAAGCAATGATATATTCAGTGGTACAAAAATTATTGTAAAACAGATAACAATTTAATACAAATGAGTATTACAAAGACAGGTCATATGGTCATTTAATGTGTTGCTGTGTAATCAGTAGAATGGAGTATTCTGTTAGGTAATGAAGTTAAATAGTAACAAAGTTTGATTGGGTCACAGGTTGACATTTATGAGATACAATAATGAGATACATATATGAGATACAATTTATGAGATACAATTATTCAGTATTTATTCAGTTGTGGGTGAGTAAGTGATTTTTGAGAAGAGACTTGAATTTATAAACAGTGTTTCTTTTATATTCACAGGTAATGAATTCCAGATTTTAGGGGCTTTATGTGCATTGAGTTTGCATAGCGTGAGATGGACACGAGGAACATCAAAGAGTGATCTGTGCCTTGTGTTATGGTCATGTGTTCTGTTAAGGTTGGTAAGGAGATGTTTGAGGGGAGGGTTTATGTCAGAGTTAAGTGTTCTCTGTATGTAGTAGGTGCAGTGATAAGTATGGATGTTTTGAATTGTGAGTAGGTTTAGAGTTTTGAATATTGGTGGAGTGTGTCTGTAGTGGGAATTTGTTATCATTCTGACTGCAGCCTTTTGTTGGGTGATTAGTGGTCTGAGATGGTTTATTGTTGTTGAGCCCCATGTGCAAATTCTATATGTGAGATAGGGGTAAATAAGTGAGTGATATAGGGCCAGGAGGGCTGACTGTGGAACATAGTACTGTATCTTCGATAGTATGCGTACGGTCTTGGAAATTTTTTTGGAAATTTGTTGTATATGTGTTTGAAATTTGAGTCTATTATCAAGGTGGATTCCTACGAATTTTCCCTCTGTGAATTTTGTGATAGGTGATCCATTTATCATTATGTTTAGAGACACATCTGTAGCTCTGTTACCAAACTGAATGTAGTAGGTTTTGTCAATGTTTAGAGTAAGTTTGTTGGTCCTCATCCAGGTTGATATTTTCTGTAATTCGGTATTTACAGTATTGGCTAGCATGACTGGGCTCGGGTGAGAGTAGACGTATGTAGTGTCATCTGCAAATAGTGTGGGTTTGAGTAGTTGCGATGCATTTGGTAGGTCATTTATGTATGTGAGAAAGAGAAGAGAGCCTAGGACACTTCCCTGTGGGACACCAACTATAACTGGCTGTGTGGAAGAGTTTGCCCCATTTGTGTTCACATATTGGCTTCTGTTGCTGAGGTATGACTTTAGGTAGTTGAGGAAGTGCCCTCTTATACCATAGTGCGAAAATTTCATGTGGAGCAAGTCGTGGTCAACTGTATCGAAAGCTTTACCTAAGTCAATGAAGATCCCCAGTGGGACTTCTTTTTTTTCTATTGCTGTATAAATATGTTCTAGCATGTGGATAATAGCATCATTAGTATTTTTATTAGGCCTGAACCCAAATTGACAGGGGTTGAGTATGTTGTGGGAGATGAGGTAGGAATAGATACGCTTATGAATTAATTTTTCAAAGATTTTAGAGAGAGGGTGTAAGTTGGATATTGGCCTATAGTTATTCAAGTCTGTGTGGTCTCCTCCTTTATGGATCGGGGTGACCCTTGCTATTTTGAGAACTGTAGGAAAGGTAGAGGATTCAATGGCTTTATTAATGAGTGTTGCAATGATTGGTGATAGCACCTGTGACACTTTTTTGTATATAATGGGTGGTAAGGTATTTAAATCTCCTGTTTTGTTTTTTAGTTTGTTGATAATAAGGGAGACTTCAGTTGGGTTAGTCGGAGCTAGGAACAGTGTGTTCGGGTAGTTGCCAGTGAGGTAGTCACTGAGTGGGGTATCTGAGCTTGGGATTTTATTGGCAAGGCTTTTTCCTATAGTGGAGAAGAAATCATTGAGTCTGTTTGCTGTTTCAGTAGGTGGAAATTGGGGTTCATTTGGTTTTGTTAATTCAATTTCGCTATTTCGTGTTAACTTTTTTGTTCCTAGTATTTCTGATAGGGTTTTCCAGGTCTTTTTCATGTCACCTCGTAAGTTGGATAATCTGTTCTCATAACAAAATTTTTTAGCCTTTCTTATTAGGCTGGTTAGGATTGACGAGTAACGTTTTGTTTGGTCTCTGGTTATATGGCCCATTCTGTACTGTTTTTCGTATTGGTGCTTTGTATTTATGGATTTGAGGATACTGGGTGTTAGCCAGGGACTGTTCAGTCTC